AAAAATGCAAGAAAGGAATATCCATTAAGAATTTCATATTCAGAAAAGTATCTTTCAAAAATTAGGGAAAACATGACATCTTAAGATAGACAAAAACTGAATAGATTTGTTGCTACAGGTCTGCATTACAAAAGATGCAAAAGTTATTCAGCCTGAAAAGAAATAATAAGGGATGAAAACTTAGGTTAATAGAAAGAAAGAAGACTATTAGAAGGTAAACATCGGGGCAAACAAAGAAGATTAACTGTTTTATTTTCTTGATTCCTTTAAACATAACTGACTAATTAAATCTAAAATAATGAAAGCAATATTTTGGGATTTATTTATTTATTTATTTATTTATTTATTTATTTTTTAGACGGAGTCTCGCTCTGTTGTCCAGGCTGGAGTGCAGTGGTGCGATCTCAGCTCACTGCAAGCTCCACATCCTGGGTTCACGCCATTCTCCTGCCTCAGCCTCCTGAGTAGAAAGGACTACAGGAGCCTGTCACCACGCCCGGCTAATTTTTTTGTATTTTTTTGTAGAGACAGGGTTTCATTGTGTTAGCCAGGATGGTCTAGATCTCCTGACCTGATGATCTGCCCACCTCGGCCTCCCAAAGTGCTGGGATTACAGGTGTAAACCACTGTACCCGGCTATATATTGGGATTTAGAATGTGAAAGATTACCGTATGTAAGAATGCTAGCTAAAAGGTTGGGAGAGCATAGATTGAATTATATTACTATAAAATTCTGACATTTATGGTAAGTATTATATTAATTCAAGGTAGAATATTATAGGAATGCATATTTAATCCCTAGAGTAGACACACACACACACACACACACACACATGAAGAGATGGAGAAAAGTGGGGAGAGAGAGAGAGAGAAAACAAGTCAGTACAGGATGCCTACATTTTACTTTAGCCACTTCTATCTTATACCATCTAGCTCCTTGCCAGAGCAATAAGGCAAGAAAAAAAAAGCACAAATATAGGGAGAAAAAAAAAAGAAAGAAAATTGTCTTTATTCGAAGACCACAAAATTATGCATGAGAAAAATCCTAGAGAAAATAAAATTATTTTACAAATGTGTGAATAATACATCCTTTAAAGCTATGATAATCAATAAATTGAGGAACTGGCATAAAGGGAAACAAATACATCAATGAAAGTGAGTAGGAGTCTAAAAATAAATGCAAACATAATTTGTCAACTTTTTTTCAACAAGTCACCAAGGATATCTAATGGATTTTTTTAAGTCTCTATAATAAATGGGGCTATAGTTAGTGGTTATGTACATAGAAATCAGGCATCTTGATTCTACCACATACCATATGTAAAAATTAATTCAAGAATATCACAGAGTAACGATAAAAGTTAAAACTCAAAAATTTTCAAAAGTAATCCTAGAAGACTATCTTTCAGAGGTTGTGATAGTGAAAGATTTCTTAGAGAATATTTTTTTAAAAAAACATAAAATAGTGAACTTCAAAATTCAATATTTCTGCTCATGAAAAGTCATCAAGAATAAAATAAAATCACATGTTTCAAATTGAGGGTTTTTTTTTTTTTTTTTTTTTTTTGAGACGGAGTCTTGCTCTGTCACCCAGGCTGGAGTGCAGTGGCGTGATCTCGGCTCACTGCAAGCTCTGCCTCCTGGGTTCACACCATTCTCCTGCCTCAGTCTCCCGAGTAGCTGGGACTACAGGCACCCGCCACTATGCCCAGCTAATTTTTTTGTACAGGCTAATGCCTGTAATCCCAGCACTTTGGGAGGCCAAGGCAGGTGGATCACAAGGTCAAGAGACTGAGACCATTCTGTCCAACATGGTGAAACCCCATCTCCACTAAAAATACAAAAATTAGCTGGGCATGGTGGTGTGGTGTCTCAACTACTTGGGAGGCTGAGGCAGGAGAATCGCTTGAACCCGGGAGGCAGAGGTTGCAGGGAGCTGAGATGGTGCCACTGTATTACAGCCTGGCAACAGAGTGAGATGCTGTCTCAAAGAAAAAAAAACAAAAAATCATTGAATCATTTGATTCAAATCTTCAATATCAAAGAATTAAGTTATTTCTCTTCTACATTTATCTACTCAAGCATTACATGATAGATACATTAACAATGTGATAATAAATTTTAAAAAAACAAAGACAATAGTGTTAATAGTATCATTATACGATTGCTACTGTACTGTAAAAACTCAGCTAACACCCAAATAACACCTGATATCTAAAACAATGCTTAAAAATATTCCACACTTTTAAGTTAAAAACATGTGTTAAATAAAAAGGTTTTCTTACTATCTTTAGTGAATTCACAATAGAGTATAACTGAATATGTGCTGCAGAGGCTTTAGATCCATGAACAATACACAGACAAAAATATAGTCACAAAAATTAAGCAACAGAGTAGAGTTTCAAGCCAAATGTTTCACAACTTTTTTAAAAAAGAAGATGACAATAGACTTTGTTGTTTGTTTTTCTTTTCTTTTTTTGGAGTGGTTAGGGAGGGAGTCTTGCTCTGTAACCCAGGCTGGAGTGCAGTGGCATGATCTTGGCTCACTGCAAGCTCCGCTTCCCAGGTTCAAGCAATTATTCTGCCCCATCCTCCAAAGTAGTTGGAACTACAGGTGTGCACCATGCCCAACTAATTTTTGTATTTTTAGTGGAGATGAGGTTTCACCATGTTGGCTAGGCTGGTCACAAACTCCTGACCTCTGGTGACCTTCCCACCTCTGCCTCCCAAAGTGTTGGGATTACAGACATGAGCCACTGTGCCTGGCCTAGACTTTGTTTATTTATCAAAATAACTCAAAAGTAAACAGAAAATTTCCATAAATGATTTAGTGTGTTTTATGGCCTATTTTTTTTTTTAATCTCACATACAGTCTTTCAAATATGTGATTTTAGGGGTTTTCCTTCCTTTTATTCTAATGTGACTGATTTTAAGAGAACTGAATCTTCCTCGCTTTCCAAAAAAATCAGTATCTTCTTAAGATCATATTCCTCTTAGAGTAATAACTGATTTTTACGGATGTTAGGGGAAGTGAAACAATTATAAGAATGAAACTCCATTCAGGAATATACAGGGCTCTTTTTCTAACATTGTCACCTCTACAGCTCGCATATCATTTCTGTCAATGGAGATCCAAGTGTGATGCCCGATATTAAACAGTATGCAAGTGGCCTAAAGGGGTTCACACAATTTACAGTACAGGAAAACATAAAGTGAATATTTTTCTAGACTAAAGGCTGTTGTTTTCAGTTTTTATTTTTTACTTACTCATCTGTGTATTAACTCTTAATTGAAAAAAGCAAGACAAGCAAATTGTAAAAATGATTTTAAAAAAATACTTAATACTTCTCCCACTCCAATCCTCTAATCCATTTATCTTTCTCTCCAGAAGCAGTCATGATGTCCAACCTCTTGGCTCTCCATCCTGAATTATTCTACTATTTGTAAATAAACTATTCTATGTTGTATATAATAAACAAATGTAACTGCACAGTTGAGAAATATTCCAGAACTTTTTCACGGTTAATAATAGAATTTAAAATTCCAAGATCCAAACCATGAATTTCAGAAGATGTGTTCTTGCCTCCCAGGCAGCTCAACTGTAGGAACCCACACACAGAAAAGTATTTTGAAAAGCATAAAGTGTAACACAAGGGAGAGGTTCTAAGCATTGCTTTTGAAGTGGAAAGAAGCCCCTTGGAGGTTCTTAGTTAAGAGGAATAAGTCTCACCAGTGGCTTTTCTCCACTCTTGCTTTACTTCATGAAATGGAACTCAAACCCTAGCTCATGGCCCTCTCAGAGGGACACAGGAAGAAGTGAAAGTGACTGAGGCACTATTGTTCTGCATCCAAACTAATACCTGACCCAACACATGGCGTGACCTGGAGCAGAGCTGCTATAAAATGTAATTCTCCCTTAACCCCTCCATGTAAATCATCAGAAAGCTTCCCTCCACTGATTTAAACAAATTTGGTCTTTGACCTCTAGAGTTAGAATTGGCCGCAACATCTCTTTCAGATGGTTGTAGTATTGAGTGTTTGATGTGTGTTAAGTATCATAAAACACAATACTATTTCATGATAGATCTTCAAATAATGCTACATATGTCCAAAGTCATGGTAACAGTCTCTTTATTCCAAGTAAATCGGTAGCATAAAATACTGCAGGTTAATGGAATAATGCACTTTGTTGTATCAAGATTTCACGTACAATGCAGCTGTGATTTGTAGTGTTGTTCAACCAGTTGCAACACCTGTCAACATGCTTCCTCTAGTAACTTCAAAAGGCTTCCAATAAATACCAAATGTTTAAAAGAGTGCTTGTGTATAGGTGAGAATATTTCTAGGTCTGTGATTTTTGGTATTTTAGCAGTAGGATTGGTACAAATGTTCATAAAGCAATCAGCTGCTTAATAACCTAGTTGCAAACATTCAAGTCTGACAATTTGAAATGCCACGGAAGACTCTAAAATTACATTTCTTCAGTTTTTTTTTGGGGGGGGGAACTAACAATATACTGAACAATTTTAAATAAAATTTAAACTCTGTAGTTAGAGCAAGTTTTCCAATCAAAAATTATTTTCATAATTTCTATAAAATTTTTAAGGATGTTTCAAAGAGCTCCAACAGAATATAGACATATTTATATATACATACATATATGTGTTTAAATCTCTGAATTGAATTTCAACCTCTCTTGGTAAATAATGTTTAATAAACTGTCATACAGGAAGATATTGTATTGAATATAGTATTAAAATGTTTTGGTACTTAATAGTTCAAAAACTTGCTTTATTTAATTGAGACCAACTGGCCTCATTGCTTCTTATAAACTTTGCAATATATATTCAGTAAAAAGGAATAAAAATGAACAGATGTTTCTCCTTAAAAAAGGCAGACAAAGATTTTTCTTACACAATAAATCATCTATTAGTGGATTTCCAGGACATTGCTTCAGGCTGTTTAGGTATAAAACTTACAAAGATAAAAAAAGGTTTTACCTCTGTATGGATCCAAAATTGGTAAAGAAGATTGAACTGAAGATGAACAGCATATACTGAAGGGGGTATGAAGAGGGCCAGGGGAGAGTAGAAAATCTGAAAGATAAAATTTTTAAAAAATTAATTTGCATATATGAATTCTCAATGCTTTGTTAATGGTTCAATATTCTGAAATGCATATTTCTTCAGCAAATATATCTCATTGTACATACTGTATATTTTATTGTCATGCTTACTTTGCAACATTAATATTCCACATGGTGATAAAGTTACAGACATGTTGGAGCTAAGGCCGCTAGACTTTGATTTTGCATTTAATATTGTCTAGTTAAAATATTATATGTTACGTGTTATTTCTTTAATTTTAAAAAGGTTGGATGTGTTTTCTGGAATTAAAGCGTTTTTTATATACACACAAATACTCTATGGTGAACAACGTAGGAATGGATGACTTTATTCCTTTGACAGCTCCCAAATTCAGTATTATTACCTGGCATTTTCAATAATAATGTAAAATTATAATAAAAGAAAGTAATTTCATATAAAAAGAGGACAGCATATACTTTTCCTTTTAATTTTGGTTTTATATGGTTGATTGATGGCATCATATCTCTTAATTTTTTCAAAGTTATTAGGAAGGAGGTATGATATGTTTCCATGGTGAAAACAAATTTAAAAGGTCCATATTACCTAAGAAACAGAAATGCCTCTGCCTTGGAAAAACAACTTACAATTAAATCACAGAACTGATTAGAATTAACTAATGAACATGATCTGCTTGTTCTGCTAATGACTTTGATCCCCAAGAGTGGTTTTATGTTGGAAGGAAACATTTTATTAAATGCGAGACTAAATAACCAAATAAGAGTAAAATGAATCCGACTTTCACTTTACATTTCTGATTTTATAGAGTTTATATTTCTGAAAGACTGGATGTTTTAAAAGCATTTCTTCTGAGCATTATAATTTTATTTTAAAATTATTTTACAACTTTTGTTCTCAATTATGCAAAATGTAATTTCAAGGATATTTAGCAATGATGATGCATTTAAAACTCGTCTAGTTCTTGTTTTCAAATCTGTCATAAAAAATTTCAACTGTCATCATAAGTAGAATTTTTAAAATATAAATGGGTTATTAAGCAATGGAATAGATTAGTGAGCAAAAGAATACTGGGCTCTTATTCAATAGATCAATTTTTAGTCCATGGTTCCACTTTAATCCATAGTCCACTAGAGACTTAGTCAAATTTTAGGCCATAGTTCCACTTAGTGATATTTACTAAGTTCTTAAGCTTCTCTAGGCTTCAGGTTCCTGAAATTAGTAGTGGAGGGGAAAACCATTTAAAATATAGTCATCCTTTCTGTTCCAAAACATCTGTGCTACTATGATTTGATTGTTTCATAATGTATTAAAACAATTATCCCCCAATAGGTTAATAGCAAAGTACTTGCAAAACATATATGGCCTATGATATAAGTTCTCTAAGTTGAGGGGTATTTTGGAATCTCCTCTTTGAGAGGTGAGAAAAATTATAAAACAACTTATTTTGGATGGTTAATAAGTAGTTCTGTTTGGAAAGACTATGCATAGCAGATGAATATTTATAGTTCATTATCATTTCCCAAAGTGTGGAGAAGTAGTCCCTTGAAATAATACCAGCTATTATGGAAAATGTGGTTATATGATCAGAGAAGTCGTGAAGGGGTAAATTAAACAAGCAAAGTTTCTTTAACACAGGTCTTTTAAGAGCTTTTACCATGCTAATGTGAATCACAAGTCTATTAGCCCACAGACTACTTTCTTGATGAGTTTTCCATAGGATTATATTTTCTGAACTCATTTTATGAAACAGTGTGCTAAATCTTACATATTGGTAATATAATGAGGAACTGACCAATGGAAAAATAAGCTCACTATGAATTCCAAAATATCATATTTCTAACAAAAAATATAGGTGAGGAAATAATTCACATGAATCACATGAGTGATAATTACTTATGATTAATACAGTTCTAGTAAAAGGGTCTAATGACACAATCAAGGTTCTAATTTTTACAATGGAAAGCACTTAGTAAATGTTGTCCAGGTAAGAGAATTCTCACTTTTCTTCTCTACCTCCAAACTTTGCATTTCCAAATCCTACATAGCTTATAAAACCAATTTAAAGGCCACTTCCATTATAAATCTTTATATGGTACTAACTCGACCGAAGAAACTTCTTCCTCAAACTCAGAGTAACTTGGTAGCTGGATTAGGGACATTATACCGTTTACCAAATACATCCATATCTACCATGCATTCAAACCTATGTCATTCAGACTCTTAGTTTCTTTAGCTTTAAATTACACTGTCTACCCTAGGTTATTTTATTGTCTTGTAGAAGTCATATATAATAGGGCTATAATGGAGAGAAACAACCCAGACCTATATGTTTGAGGAAAGAATGAGTACAAGCCTGAAGGTGATCTAAGGCTAACAGACAGAAGATGAGTGGATTTTATTCTCTTACTAAGTGAACGTGGCAAGCAGGGGTTGTGTGAGACAGTATTATGAAGCAAGAAACAACCTGGCATTTAGGGGGAGCTACACATGTTTGATATCGTAGAAAGTGTTGGAGAGTAGTGTGGCTAGAAATCAGGTTGGACCATGGGGTTTCTGGACAGACCTCAGGGAATCCACGAATCTCCTGATGCTGCCATAACAACATGTGAGCTCGTGTGCATGGGAGAGTGTGCATTTTTCTAAAGAAACAATTGATAGCCTTCATCAGCGAGTCTTCAGTATGTCTGTGCCTCACAGCCAACACAGAAAAATAATTTAGACAGTGGCTAAACCAGAGAAGGGAACCATTTCAAGAAGATTAGGCATAAGGAAACAATTCACATCTTTTTAAGCATGTAAGAAATAGAAAATATAAAAATATGTTTGGAACCTGTTTCAATAGCCCAGAGAAAAGTGATGCATATTTAATCACAGCAGTAGCCAAGAGGATGGAGCAGTAAAGTACATGCAACAGATTTAAGGATTTGGCAGCTATTCAAACATAGGAGTTGAGAGGCATGTAGCAGTGTCAGAAGACACTCAGATTTCTGGCTTGTCTATTGGCGATATTGTTCACCAAGAAGGTGAACAGGAAGAATAGGTGGTAAAGTTCAACTTGAGGAATGTCGTGTTGGGGTCTATGAGGTGTGTGTCCAGGAAGCTATTGAGTAAGATTTTGGAAACATCTGTCTGGAATTACATCTCAGGGAATCAGCAAGTGTCTTGTTTGAACTTGTTGATATGGGTGTCATGCAAATATCAATTTTATTTGGCTTATAGGTGTGTCCACAGTGGGAAGCTAGCCGAAGATGCAACTCTGTGAGCGGTCAGAAAGAGTGGCCATAAATGAGGCTGATACAGGACAGTCTCAGAGGTGGGAAAGATCTAGTAGCTAGCATTATCAGATACGATGAGAAATTTTTAAGAGAGAGAGAAGACTCCCAGTTAGTGTCCAAGTGAGACAGGAACTGAAAAAAAAAGAAGTGACATGGAATTTGCAAGTATGAATCAGCAGAACAGTAGGCCTAGAATGCAGACCTAAAATTCACAAACCCAAGTTAGTAAGTTTAAGAATCAGCCAGAGGAGGTAACAAAATGAAAACAGGGATGACTTCTATGTTTCTCTGATAACAAAAAAGGAGACAGCTGAATGTATTCCTGCAATAAAACAATGGATGAGGGAGGAGATATTACCCGTGTATTTATTTTTTTAATGTGACAGATCTTACTATATTTATGGCTTATTCAGAAGGAGGCAGTTGAAACGAAGAGAGAAAATTCCAAGACTATCTGATAGGACAAAGTCCAAGAGAAAAAAATATAAGGTAAGAGCAATGTCACCAACCTAAGGATTAGACCAACTGAAGAGAGGTGAGCATTTTCTATAAAACTAGAGGTAAGAATGCATGTTCATCACTTGTGAGTTCATGAATTTTAATTGAATATGTATGAACAGGGAAGACTAGATAAGGAAAACTGAAAAAAAGAAAAAACTCACATTTCTCTTTGAAGTTTTAAATATGTTCAAGAGGCAGGAGTGGGGAAGAGATCTTGAAGAGACCATGAAATTCTGAAGAGTTTCCCCAAGGTAGAGAGGAGAAAATAGAGCAGTCTCCTGTTCATGACTTGGTACACAGTGTTTAGGAATCAGTTGGATCTGAATCCATACATGGAGGGGCACCAAACTGCTGACCTGGTGCAAGAGGAAGCCCGTAGCACTCAGCAATCTGGATGTGGGGGTGAAGAGGGTAGATGACTGGATTTACTCATGGCCTGAAGATTTCAAGGCATAGGATTTCAGCAGAGGATGCAGACTGTGCTTCGCAGAGTCATGGAAATTAGGCATCTTAATTTGGACAAGGTAAGAAGTAAAGTGAGGAGGCAATGACAAACAGAAAATGTAGGAGGCGAGAGAATAAAGTACTCCAGACTGTCCTTCACAGAGTCATGGAAATTAGGCATCTTAATTTGGACAAGGTAAGAAGTAAAGTAAGGAGACAATGACAAATAGAAAATGTAGGAGGTGAGAGAGTAAAGTACTCCACGACTAAGCTGCTAAGCAAGTGGCTAAATGGTAAACATAAAATTACTTTCAAATAAATGAAAAACAAAAAAACTTTTGAACTCTAGAATTCATGTCTGCTTTATTTTAATAGTTCAGATACATTTCATTAACATTACTAATGTATCTATTTCTAGGATTTTTATTTATTTTTATAATATTAATTTAGAGAAAAAGCAACTAAAAAATGTTCATCGGAATTGAGAAACTAATGATTGAAGAATCAAATAGTATGTGACACATTCCTTAAGTCTATGATTGGTAATGACACAGATCAAAATTACCTGATTATAGATAGAGAGTATTGATCTCTGTCCTTAAGACATATCTACTTAGATTTTATGTTTGAAATAAGGGTTTGTGTTTCTATTTAGAAAGTCATTAAGTAACCTATGTCTATCTTTCTGGTCCCATTTCTATGCACTTAACCATTTCCTTTTGACCCCATTCCACCATTTTATACATCCTATGTTCTAGCCATACTCATACT